ATCCCAGTACCTATCTCTGCCCTCAGCAAACATGAACTTGGTGGGCTTGTACCCCTCAGTTGGCAGCATCCCCTTCATCAGTTTGCCTGCTACCAATGTTCATGCCTTGGACATTGGTTGTCTAACTGCCCAGCTCACAGTGGCAACTAACAGTGAAATCTGCTCCTGGGTAGCCCAAGGCCTCTACCCACCTTTGGAGGACCTCAGGCCTTTGGGGGGGGGGGGGGGGGTGATGTCATGCTGTGCTCACATTCTTTCTGTTCTAGACTTTGTACAATACTGCTCATGCCTTGTCATGCTTTCAAGTGACAATGTTCTGTTGCCCACAGGCCTTAGGCCTGTGTTCTGTGTATGTTTCCTTTTTTGTCCTCCCCTGTCTACCCCACATTGTACTATAACCAGACATTATGTCCATCTACCCTTCCATCTGTGATCCACTGGTGGCCCTGATCCATGCAGTCACATGACACATGTACCCCAGGTACACATCCACCCTGGCATACATCATATACATGGTTACTCTCCATTCACCCCCAGTTCCCTCCATCTGCAGACTCATTCACCCTTATGCCCATGTAAGTCTGACTTGACAATGCCTTATTGGGGATGTGGGTGTATGTTTAAACACTTTCAAATGTTTGTCCTGCAGGTACTTTACATACATATATAAACTTGCATGTATCATACCAGCTCCTCATTTGAAATCTACTTTGCAACCACCCTTAGCTCTGCTTGCTGTACCCATGAGGACTTGACAGTACAACTTTGGTTGGCCAAGACTAGTGCTCCATCCACTAGTGAAGTTAAATTACATGTCACTTCTCACACAGTCATGTGCTTGTGTATCCACACTCAATTCATGATGCAATACGAGTCATCAGCATAACAGTTTCAGTGATTGTTGACATGATACTCACTTCTATTCTATGCAGGGGATCAGTTCACAAATTGTTGAGGGAGGTATTGGGGGGAGGTTTGGTTTTGAGGTTTTAGACCAGTTTCAGAAAGGATAAAAATATGTGACTCCAATGCAAAGTTCAGGACTTGCAATGTAGGCACAGCAGAACTTCCTTAGACACACTACAAAGTTATCCAGATGTTTGGGTCTGTATTCAATGTAGGGAAAGGAGTCCTGGTACTCTATGTCATACAAGTCTCTTTATACCATAGCAGACAAGAACAGAATGTCAATGTAGATGAGCAGGATAAGTAAAACATCAAAAGTAAATGAGAAACAAATTGGATCTGTCATATGAACAAACATCACTTGAGAACATACTGTCAACTGTCAGGCCAAAACCCTACAGTTAGGCATTGTTCATCCTCCAAAGTTGAAGTTGAAAACTTCGACTTTGACTTTGGCAAAGTAGTCACGTGATGTTTATATCAGCTGTGCATGCCTGCATGAATGCAAAGTCTAAGTTTGGGCTTCTGCTTCAGTAATGTAGTCATGTGATGATTATATAAGACAACAATACAACTTGTAGTTCAATAGATAACATTGTGATAACAGATCAAACAACTCTGCTATGGATCTTGAAGCACAGCAACTCCAGCACCATTGTTGTCACTGTCTTGCTGCACTTGTAGTAGCAGTGATGATACAGGTGCTATGCCTCTATGACCTCCTTTTTCATTCTGACTCAGAACCAAACCCCTACCATACCTCAATCCTGACAGGTGAGGGATGGATGCTAGAGCTCCTGAATGGTCATCCAGACAGGATACAGACTTGCCTTGGTGTCAGCCATGGGGTTTCTGATCACTTGATGCAGGTGCTCACCCACCATGGTTTTGTGCCTTCTTGCAATGGAATTTATGTGGAGGAACAACTTGGGATATTCCTCTACACCTGTGTTACTGGGTTGTCATCCTGGCATGTTGCTGAGTGGTTCCAACACTCACCAGGGACCATCACTAGGTAGGGAGTCCATTGAACTGTCTGATATTTTTCTCACAATTTTTTAGATATTTCAAAGCAATGTTGGCTTTCTTTTCTGGGGGACAATTCTATGCATCCCAAGTGCAATTCCCCACCAACAACACTCCCATATCAACTGTGATTACTAGTGACCCATGCTTCTGATTTTTCCAGGATTGTATTGGTGCAGTTGATGGCACTCATATATGAGCATTCACTGCTGCTGAGGACCAGCCTTACATGAGGAACCAGAAGGGCTACCTGTCTCAAAATTGTCTCTTCATCTGTGATTTTGACTTCTTCTTCACATATGCCCTCACTGGCTTTGATGGGTCAACTGCAGATGCAACCATGTGGCATGATGCACACAGGAGTGACTTGCACATGCCACCTGGGAAGTACCTTCTTGCAGATTCAGGGTTTGGGACCTGTGATGCACTTCTGGTTCCCTATTGAAGTGTTTGTTACCATCTGAAAGAATGGCACCAGGCTGGATTAAGGTAAGTTGCTATTCCATCCTGCCCAGTGTACCTGTAACTTCTATTTTATAGACCTCAAAACTGAGAGGAGTTATTCAACCTTCACCATGCTGGACTTAGAAATGCTGTTGAACAGATATTTGGTGTTATAAAATGCAGGTGGAGGATTCTTCAAATTCCCCCTGAATATAGCATCCACACCCAAACTCAAGTACCTGCTGCTCTCTGTGCCCTCCACAATTTCATACAGTGCTAGGATCCAAAAGAGTTCTTTGACCCTGACCTTGCCATGGACATAGGAGAGGATGATGGTATTGGAAGCCTTGGTGATGGACCAGCAGATGCTGCAGAGAGGAGAAGGGCTGATAATAGGTGTGACAACATTGCAGAGGAGATGTGGATTGACTATCAGCACCAGCTTACAATTAGGGGCCTTCTCTGAACCTGAACATTCAGATTTCATGGTGTACAAATATATGTTCTTACAATTGTTTCACACTCATGGATGTAGAGAAATGGCTTCCATTGTCAAAGGAAGCTTGTTATGTACATTTTATTATGTACATATTTGTATGATGGGGGGGAGGGGGGGGACTTCAAATGATGTGCAAGGGGGGGGCAAGTACATTTGTGTATTGTATAAAAAAAAGAAAGGGGAAACCTATTTTTGCCCATCCTGGTACTTCATCAGCCAATGCTGCACCCAAATCTGCTTTGCCAGCTCCTGATGCTTGAGGAAGATATTCACTTCATCTGGGGTTGTGCCAAGGAAGTAGTCACTGATGTTGATCTGATCATCTGTTGAGAGCTGTGGCATGTTGTTGATATTGTCCATGGCAGTGTTGACAAGGGGGATCATAATAGGTGGCAGGGGTGGCAGGGGCAATGGGGCAGCAATCATGTGTGTTGTAGGAAAATGGGATTTAAATGAGGAGAGGGGGTTAGTAGGGATATCTGAGGGGAATGAGTAGACCAAAAGGGGCTTCTATAGCCTGGGACTGGATCCTGGTAGTCATCTGAAAGCTTCTATGGCTGTCTTGGTGCAGGGAATGACCTGCTCAAGCTCATCTCTTGTCTGTGGTAACTCATCTATTTTTTTTTTTAAAGAAAAACCTATACACAAGTAGTACTACTGCTGACTAAGCAACCAAAAAAGCGAAATCTAAGTACAACTCATAGAAAAAGGAGTTTAGAATGAAAACCAAGTAAAACAAGCAAAATAAAACAACTCCCCTGATAGTGAAATTGCACTCCCTACAGCATGATGTTATTGAGCTTGGAAGTGATGGTGGTGATGAATGAGTTGTGATCTTCTTCAGCATGTGCTCTGGCCAATGGGGGGCAAGAGTGCTTCAATCCACCCTTGGACATTGCAATGGACTCAGCTTTCCTTTTTCTGTGGCTGATGCTGGTGATGGCCAATGATGACAATGACCCAGCTGACACATGCAACAGAAAGCTTGATGGTGTGGAAGGGGGGATGAAATTTGGATCCACAGACTACATGTCCTCATGACGGTGTGTGTTGAGAGCATGCATCATGTCAAGGAGGGAGAGGGAGGGAAGGGGGGTAGGAATAGTTGAAGTGGTGGGGGCTGCAGTAGAGGTGGAGTATTGAAGGCAAAGGTCATGGCTGTAGAAGGTGCAGTAGTGGCATGTGGCCAGTAGACAAACTGACCTTGGCTGTGCAAGGGGAGAAGGAGCTCAATGCTCATGAAGTGGGGGAACCTGGAATTGTGAAATGGCATGAAACTGGGGCACATGATCATCAGGGGCATCAAGTTGTTCTGACATTTTGATGGGTGTAATGGGATGACAGTCATGGAAGGACAATGCTAGATTGCAGACATTGAATAGTGCAGTAATGATGGATATGAATTGTCTGACTGATGTTGAACCATGCCCACTACATGCAAATCAACAGTAGGTTGTGCCTTGGACAATACCATAGATGAAAATGACTGGTTAGATGTCAGAGCAGGAGTTCCTTAGGGTAGAGAGGCAGACGTTGGGGGAATAACCACCAGAGATACAGGAGTGTGTGAGATGGTGCAAAACTGAGGGATATGGCCATATGCTGGTTGTGGGATGCACTCAGGCATATGATCTCATCAACATTATGGCACAGACAACATGTACATTGACTTCCACCATCAATGACTGAGCAACAATGGAAAACATCTGACTGATGCTCCTGATTGACATACTTGTAAACCTAAAGGGTATTGGTTGATACCACCTACACAACAAATCTTATTCACACACCTTTGTAATGTCCCTCCATATGATATTTGTCTAAACATTCCACTGGGCTTGTTCCAAGGTTTCTATACATTTGGTCATGCTGTTGCCATCGATTTATTGTCCTTCCTCCACTGGTGATGCCAGGTGAGAGGTTATATCACCCTCCAGCACCTGATAAGAGAAAACCAGCAGACCAGCAGAAGAGATGCTAAGGAATGTGGTGGTGGCTCATTATTGAGAATGCATTTGAGGGATATGCTGGACAGCAGAATAAAAACTGAAGACTCAACAGAAGACAATCATTCCCTCTTGACTATTAGTGGCACAAATTCCTGGCAGGCACAAACAGGACTTGGCTAGGCAAGATTGCTGAGAACTGCGATTGCAATTGACTATCCCAAGATGGTCATTAGATGCTACATATCCAAAAACAATCTGAGCTTCAACCTAGTAGCTGGTATATTCCTTCCACAACCCTACCCCAACTTGTAGCAACCCTGCAATGTACCCCATACCTAATGCCACAACTAGTAGTAGGTAGATGGCCATCCCTTGTGTGTTGAATGGTCCACATTGAACATATCTCAGTCCCATACACATGAAGTCAGTGATTGATTTTGAGGTGGGTGGCTCCACTGCAGAGCCCAGGGACCAGAGTTTCAGCACTGGTGGCGACTTAGGGCCCTCTCAATATGGAGACACTCACTGCCACCATCTGGACCAGCTGAGCACCTGAGAGCATTAGTAAAAACCTGCTTAGCTTCCTGTATTGAATGGGACAACTTACTTGCACTGTGATGAGGGATGCATCACTGATTCCCAGACATAACTTCACAAAGCTGAATCTCCCCATTATCTGTGCCATTGATTGCAATCTCCGAAGACCACGCAGTATGACCACTATGGAAGGGAAGGGTAAGCTGAGGTACACAGCAATGCAATTAGGAGTAAATGGACATTCTTGTCAGTAGCTTGGACCACCACAACCCATTCCATGCTGGCAAGCCCCACACAATGCTACAGTGGAGGGAAATGAAGAATATTCATAAAGTACTATACAACTTACATGTCTTTGGAGTCCAAGAATGCAATAAAGACAGCCTTTCCATCTTTGAAGAAATGCACTCATCTAGGAACTGACTTGCACAGAGGTACACCTGCTGGAGGTTCCCAAGCCATGGGTTGAAAGGGGCCTAAACAAATCACCAGTCACCAGTAGGCATTATTATTTATCCAAATAGTGAACATACCTATGTCATGTTGTACATCCAGGCTAAGAACAACAATATGACCTCTTGCAACCACAGCAACTCTTCAAGTACTGTCATGCACTGCAATATCCTCAACACAAGCTTCTGACAAAGTAAACATTCCAGCTTTAAAGAAAATGTTCTTCAAAAAGAAATTCAGTTTCACATTTGGAACAGAATGGTGTGGAATATACCCCTTTGTCTGGTTTCTTCCAAAGCTGAAGTGTTCCATCCACACCACCCGATATAAGGAAGCAAGAATTGTAGTCCATAGTGTTGCAGTACCATCAGATGACCATTATGGGCCCTTTCCTAGCACTTATGGATTGTACCTGCTTCCCAGTTTGCATGTTCCAAATAATGATATGGCCATCATTACCTGCTCTGCATGTTCAGATACAGGTAAAAGGGGATCATTAATTTCCAATCCTTACTGCCACTTGCAAGGTATGGGGCATTGTCAGAGAATGCAATGGTGTGTACAGACCTATGGTGTCCTTCACTGGTCCAGAGAAGCTTGGTACAAGGGGTCTCCATTGAAGTCTTATGGATTAGTGAAGTTACTTACCTGAAGAACATCTCAGACAAAGGCTTTTCAATTATGTAAGATACTTCGACTCGAAGCACCCCAGTTCACCTGCCATGGTGATGCATTATGACTGCTACTTTCCTCCAGTTACTGATACACAGGTCTTCGATGCAGAATGCAGTCCAAGTCCATGGGAAGATGAAGCAAAATTAATGTCAGAGCAGATTTTTGGCTTTGAATTGCCCACTGGTCTGTCATCTCCAGACAGAGGTATAAACTCTAGACATTGGAGGCCAGAGGATGGGGACAAAGCGACCACTGCTGAGACAATGCCAATGCTTCCTAACTTTGTCTACCAGAGTCCATTGGAAGGTTTGTACTGATAATGGTGACATGAATTGACCATTGGCTTGAATTTTAAATATGTTAGGTCTTGCTCTCATCCCTTGTCCTCCTGGACCGATGTCAAAGCCAGGCCTAGGTGGGTGGTCTCTGAGGGAAACATTGGGCTGGTCCGATAGTACCTACAACAAAGTCCAGGTTGAGATCATGTTTACACTTTTCTGGTAACATGGTAACACCAACTGAGATTCCATCATTTAGGATGATGTACATGCACTTTGCAAGCAGTTTTTTGACCTGATGAAACCATACAGTCAGCAGGATCCCAAGGCTATAATGAGATATTTGTTGACAGTGGGTCACACAAGCTGTTTAGTTCACTTCCATGATGCTAACACCTTGCATGGAAGGCTCATGAAAAGTTTCCCAAAATGGCATGTTATGTCTCCCTCTGGCTCACAGAATCCTTCGCCACCATATATCTCAAGAACACAGCATTCGAAACATGCAGGAAAGTTTTTTCAGGGAAAGGAGAGCACCCTTCATCACAGGTCAATGAGTAGATGTGACACTTTCTTCATATGTACAAAATGTGCTCTGCCTCTATGGGAACATCAATCTGATCCTGTATGCATCACAGGAATTCTAGTAGAAGCTTGCACAGTTTAATTGTCAGACCCATATGAGCTGTTTATGGTAATGAGGTTTAAAGAATGTGAGAAACATTGAAGAAATGAATGTATAACAAATGTGCCATTCACCAAGAAATGCCAAGGGTGAGAGAAAGCAGATTCAGGTGTCAGAGCAACAAGCATGATGTCCTGTGCCAACTTGAGTGTGAACTCAGCAGGCAGGACAAAACCTTCATATGTCATCACTGACTGTAATGGGGGTTAAAGACTATTTGCAAAGTCATCAGAGATAGTGATGTGGGAATGATGGTATACACACAAGAACAAGTGCCCAAGTGCCTTTCAAAGCAAGAACTAGAATGAATGTGATCACAACAATCTTAATAGTCCTTGGATGATCTGCTTCGTCCAAGTTGAAAAGCTACATCCCTGCCATGAAATACAGTACTCTATGGCTGCAAAATGACCCACCTGTCCAAAAGCACATTCGATTTCTGTGTCTGTTTTTGCCTTCCAGAGTTTGATGGTCATGCACATGCCATGTCCAGTGGCATATGTTGCCAAGAAATTGTAATTCCTGCCCTGGAAACTACACAGCACCTGTACCATGACACCTACAGAATAAGCAGTTGCTATGAGGTATGTTAGAGGATTGGACATACTTCCATGACAAAGAGTTTGGACTTGTGTTCCCATTCTCATACACCACACCCATACCTTACCATCAGTAGCTCCACTGACCACCTTCCAACCACAATCAACAAAATCGATAGCACATGGATAATTTCCATTAGAAGAGTTGCATGGGAATGGAAATGATAAGGATATGACAGAGTGGCCCACAGGATACAGGTCCAGGCCAGTCATTAGATTGGATATCAAGATGTGTGTCTTGTCTGGTGATAGCACTGCACTCCCTCTGTAGCCTTGATTGTCAGTCTGATTCCAGACAAATAAAACAAGGACTAACATATGCTGATGCATGTGAGCAGGACAGATTTGCCAAAGTGATTGTGATTTCTGGATGTCCCAGCAGCTTGATGGAATATTAGAGGATGCTAACAGTGAGATATTCTGACAACATACATCACTCCATGATTTAGGTAGGCCACCTAGATTTAGCTAAATCAAAGCTCATTTAATGAAATGTACTGCTGGAGGATGAACCACATTCAACATCCATAGTAGCAGTGTCCAGGATGGTCAATGAGTTGGTCCTGGATGCTACAGTAGCATCTAACTGCAGCATATTAAGGGATGCCAATAAAATCCTATTTTCCACACCCTCATTTTCCATGGATTGGTGATGTTTCTGCAACAGTTCTTTGTCATGTTGATGGTGAGCATGGGTAGACAGTTTCAACAGAACACCCGAGATGGATACATTCATCAGAGGATCTCACAAGTGGCCCCTGCAGCAACTGTGAACATGGCACCAACAAATCTTGTACTGTTGTTGCCTGGCCATGATTGCACTGTAACAAGATACTCAGTACCACAGATGCTAAGGTGAGTTGTTTAATCAATAATGCAGTAAAATGAAACCTATTGCAGCAATTTCCTTTTTTGTAAGGTGCTCATTCAAATGCTGAGGGTGCCAGTGGTGTCTGTCCCTATGCAAGATATCACTGGGGATTGACAGTATGGTAGACTATTTCACTGCTCCACCATTGTCATTTGAATGATTGACTGTCTGTGGCAGGATTACCCCAGTGATCACTCACCATATATGAGGGCATCAGGCAGTGACTGCATTGTAATCTGCTGTGATAACCTTGAGCCCAAGATGAATCACACCCTTAGCCCCTGTTCAACCAACTCCAGTCCATGTGCAGGACACAAGAAAGGTAAATCTGGCTCTGGATGTCTTCCCATTCTAAGGCATTGACTTCTTCTGACTATCCACATCCTCACAAGTCCCCAGTCTCTGCCTCCTTCTCAACCTGATTTAATTGTAAATGCTATTGCTGTGGGTACTTCTTCACTGCTCACATCTCCCTCATACAACGTGCCACCAACTGCCTTGTTGGTGAACTGACTTCCAGAACCTCTCCAAGCTTGATCTAACCAAACAGTTCACAGACTTCTGTCATCATATCCTTGTTACCTGGGTCAATCTTGTCATGCCAGTCAGTGTCCTTGACCTCATCAGACATGGAGTATCAAATGGCAGACACTCTCCCCATTATGCTATGGGAATGTGCATTCTCTGAATCAGATGTCTGCTGCCAGAGTGGTGGTGACATCATCAGTAAAGTTGTTGGTGAAGAACATGATAATGATTCATATCAATCAGTCCAGCAGCCTGCATCCTTCTATGTATGACCTCAATGATCATCTGGGCAAAATAATAGTCTTTATTGTGCACAAACAGTGAGAGCATGTTTTCCAGGGGAATGTATTATTTCAACACAGGTGTAAATGTAAACAACATGAATATGTGCATGTATGTCAGCCACTCAATACACCTGCCTACTGACCCTCATGCTTCTGTTTACCCCTGTACATCATAGCAGTCTTTCTCATGATCCAACTTGGCTCCTCCTGCATTTGTAGCCACAACCTATGCCCAGGCAGAACAGGGTGAGCTTTGCCTTCTTTGGCAGGTTCCCATAATTCCTTGTTGCAATTCCACATCCATACTTGCACTGCAGACTCACCCCATAGATGGAGGTAGAGGTCAATGTGTTCAACCTCCAGATCAGCAGGAGGGTACTGAATGGGACCAGGCCCACAAGAAGTATACCAACACATATACATATTTTCATTCTGGATCTTGCACTCATGCTGAATGGGGCCCGAACTGGATGTGGGTGACACAACCATGGTTTGATCATGATCTCCTCTACAGATGACACTACAATTGAAGTTGGCCAGAGTTGTTTTGCAAAACAGCAAAGCATCATTTCCACCAGAGAGGCACAATAATGGTGACAATGATCAAGAAGGAGATCTACTGTTGCAAACTGTAGATAGACTTGGTGCCAGGTTTGTTGTCTGGCACACCACAGCAATGTCAACAGTGTCCACTCACCTATCAGCTTATAAATTCAATGCTCACTAATGAATAACACTGCAATGCACCTTAAAAGACATGGTAAATGATGCTGATTAGATGGGAAGCACTCTCAGTGAATGGGAATTGACTACAAGGTGCAGTGTAAGTATCATCCATCCACAAGTAGAAGGTACCAGTACTTTACATCTATAGCTGCCACATTTATTTGGAAGAAGTAATCATCAACTCTTGCTAGGGGCTTGTCCCAAGGAAAGGATGTGTGACAAATGGGTGATACCTTATGCAAAATGGCTAAGCACTGGAATAGTCTGGATCAATAAAACCTACCTCTATTGCACATTTTGCAGGCAAACGATAGGGAGCTGCAGCCTGGTGGGAGTTTACACTTATGTGACTGGAAGGGACCTTCATTGCAGTGCACAGGAAAGAAGATGGTTGGAAAAACTGTTGCATATAAATGGCAGGGAGCTGCTAATGATGAGATGAAAGGAGAAAGGCCTTTATTGCTTTGTTGATGATAGTGGACATGGCACCATACTGACCATTTCCAGACAATGACAATGGTTGGTGCCAGTGAATGTTGAATGTTGGTGCAGGAGCTGGAACTGGAGCTGAGCACTGAGTGCTGAGAGCTGGAGTTGAGTGCCATTGTGACCATTCAGCAGGCAGGAACAGATTTGTGACTTAGCAAATCAGGCAAACTTGTTAAATTTGGTAATGGTACCAGGCTGGATTCATTTTGGAACAAAGGAAAATCTTCACTTGAGTTTCACCTGAATTTGCACATCAGAGTAGTTTTGGAAATTACACCCAGTTTGCCATGTCGCAAATTGGGATTATTTATTAATTTCGATACCTTTTCCTGCCAGATACAATTTTGCATAGATGATAAAGTTGGAATTCATGTTGCCATGGCGCAAATTGTGAACAAAACAATGCTTTAGTTTGTTTATCTGCAGCATTAATCAAGTCACTAATGTAAGAAATTCTATCACTTTTGACGTTGGAACATTCATGTCTCTTAAGAAAAAATTGATGTGATCATGTTCCCCAAGGAAATGCTGCATTAATTTAACTGTTGCTAAGGCATTGCACAACTGAATTTACACACTGAAAAGTCTTAATGCCTGTGGTGTGAATAAATGATACATTAGCACTATCCAGGGACATACATTATGGAACATACAATTAGGGTTGTCTGGATTCTGTCCATCCACATTAAGAAGAACAGTGTTGCAGTTCCCATGGGGGAAGTCAGGTGATGGAGGCTGAGCTTGAACCACTTGACTCAGCATGATCACTGAGGGCCTGCAGGTCAAGTATTGTTGAATGTGAAATTTATACCACACTGAGACTCCATCAAACATCTGCAGGGCAATGTGGGATGCAATGCTTTCCACATGGCACATGACATATTCATTGAGCCTCTCAAAAAAGTTGGGAAGTGCATAAGTGGTACCAATGTCAGTGATCTTCAGTTTGACATGATCAGGAGTGATCATGATGGATAGCACAGCTACAGTTCCTTTGGACATTAAACCCTTCATGAATAGATTTCAAATAGAGTGGGGGGAATTAAAGTGGCATTGTTCACCAGGGGTAACACAAGAGATCCATGATGAGGTAGGGTCTGCTGAACAGAGAAGATTCTCTTCATCCTCAGTGGCATTCACCAAGGGCTTGTTATGTTCATGGAGCAAAAGGTATACATCAAACAGGCAAATGCACTCCTCACAGTCAAGGAGGCAGATGATCTGTTCAGTGAAGTTGGATTGCCTATTGGTCTGAGTGAATGGCATGTTGCAGTGAGTGATGAGAAGATGTTCAGAAACATTGGCACTATACTGGATCAACCCACCATTTCTTCTGATGGCATCCATGAAGTTCAGCATGAGCTCTAGCTTGGGGATATTGAAATCCACCTTTCCAGCATGAGCCCCAGTGGCAAGAATGCCATTCTTTGTTGAATGAAACTTGGCAAGTGAGGCTTCCATATCTCTGATGGATGATTCAGTGTGGACATGCCTTTGGGCAAGATAAATGAAGTCCATGAGTGTGCAGATAGGCTGAACCATCACAGCAGGGGCAGCACCAGTGATCATGGGAACAATTGTGTGCTGTATGTCATGATATTCACATCCTGTCATCTGGGTTGCATGTGATATCCCAGAAGCAAAGTGGTGAAAACCAATGCATTTGTGGTGGACCTTGTAGAGAGTGTTGAGTTCATCGATCCCAACCACCTCCTTGCACCACTTCAGTACATGATCCCAGAAAAAATTGTGGAGGGAATGAAGAACTTTGGGCACAAGAAACCTGGCAGGGTCGCTGTGTTGCCAATTTCAGAAGAATGGAAGTTGGACTCCAAGGAGTTGGTTAGCCTTCACCACCTTCTGGAAACTATCTACCTTCCAAGGGTCCCTTCTGCCCCCTGTTCTACTGATCTGGTGAATGCAATCAAGGGTATACTGTTTTGTGTGAGGGGGCTGACATGTTGGGTCTCTGAACTGCTCAAGAGTCACCAGGGTGATAGGGGATGCATTTCTAGCCACTGCTGCAATTAATTGTTGTTCCAGTAGGTCAGCCATCCATGCTACCAAGAGTGTGAAGCAGAATTGGATGTCACTGAAAGCATCCATCATGAACTCTCCAACATTAGCAACATGCTTCAATCTCTCCATGACAATGTCTATACATCTATGCCAGAGCTGAGCCTGCAAAATTGTCTGGTAGTCTGGATGAACATTAAACTTAATAATCAGCATGAAGGCAACACAATGCCAGGCATGTGCTGTGGCCTTCATGTGGATGTCAGAGTCAATGTTGGCAATTGTTAGAAACAGGGGATGCATTTCAAGGTTACCAGTATGCTTCATGACAGGCATCTTGTCTGATGCAGCAATAATGGGAATGATGGTTGCACCCTCAGGAAGTGTGTCCTTAACAAAAATTAGCCTTGTGCAGGAGGCAGTAAGTGCTTTGAAACAGCAGACCTGGATACAGGTTGCCTCATGAGCTGTGAACCATTCACCATACTTGTGCTCTGTATTTCTCCACACATGAAGGGGGTCAAAGGACATGTTTTATGGGAATATTGGATTTCCAAAAAGACTTTCTACAACCTCCAGTCCATCTCGATACATGAGCCTGATCTTCTTCTCTGTGTTGTAGCCATTGACTTTGAGTTGCTTGACTTGCCATTTCAGCCCTGATGACAGGGTGTCTGTCCACTCAAGGAGCTGGCAAGCTGATGAGAATGATGGTTTTTGACCTTTCAACTGCATTGGAATGTTGAGGCAAGTGTTCTGGGTAATACTAACATGAAACTCACCCAGTCCAATTTGAGAAATACATTGATTTGAATCTGCATGAGGTTTTCAACAAGAAAATTTCCCAACCCCCACTCTGCATGACTTTGGAAAAGCCAGTAAATGTTCATTTCATGATTCTTCTGATACCAATCATCTTCTATTCATTCCAGTGTGTTCTTCGACTGACCATACACCCAACCCAATCTTGCATGGTATTGGGCAGTGCGATCCCCTGACTCCTGTGTTGAACAAAGAGCAGGGGGAAGTGGGCATATTTGAGTATCCATATCAATGTATTAGTGGGAGAGGCTTGACAATTCTCTAAGTCTTTCAAGCTCCACTTCCTGGGTTCCACTTCCCTCTGGCATTGTCCTCCCAGGCCGCATCTGTAGTCCCATTGGTGATTGTGATCATGTCTTCTCACCTTACCCCTCCCCCAAGCTCTCCCCAATCCCATCACTTGGATACTAGCAGACATCACAGAAAATCCCCACTCCTTTCTCCCCTTTGCACCTCCAAGACCCAGAAATTATTTGATAGAAAGATATACAGGAATTACACCATTGCTGAGTACTCCAGTTCCAAAGCATTTACTGGAACATAACAGCTTGCAAGAAACACTTTGCATTTCCCACAGTGTCAAAAAGGGTCCCACAGGGGATCACTCAGGGGACTATCTTGCTACATGCCTCCCTCCTACTGTTCATACATTATTGGCCTGTGCAAAGCAAGCTTGTAACAAGTTTACACCATACCAGAAGCCACATGGTGCAAGTTCTATTGAACTCTGCTTTACTGAGAAATCCCTTGGAAAACAGACATATGATGGTATCACTTTGGAAGATGTGAGAGTGGTAAACAATCTCTATATGTCTGTTTCATGCATTCTCACACATTATTCAGGGAAAATCACTTCTCATGCATGGACTGTGAGTGATGCCTGAGAATGCATTCAGCAAGGCCTTGGCAATGAGGGAGGCTGACAGAGAATCTGCATGACTGTGTGCTCTTACAACTGCCTGGGCGCTGGAAGCTGTCAACCACCAGAGATAGTTCCTTCTCACAATCCAAGAAGAGAATATGCAGAAGTTCCTTCAATCAACTGATGATCTCCAGTTGTTCATGACCACCATGGAACATCACTCAGTCAATGAACTGAAACACAAGGCAGACTTTGAGGTCAGGGCATATGGTCGAGATTTAACATTGCTTGCATTGGAAGATGAATGTCTTGCCCAGATGGAGGAGGTGTCAGGTGAAAGAAGGGAGAGGGAAGCAGCTGACTCTGAAGATGACTTGTCAGCCATCTTGGCTGCTTCAATTACTGTTGACACTTTGCAAACAGATGGGAGTGAGCACAGTGACTCTGAAGATGATTTGTAATACAGTAGTAAGTGCCATTTTCAACAAGCATTGCTGTATCTCTAATGACACTAGCTTCAGATTTAAGCATGTTTTGATAGCAGGTTTCCCCAATATATATGTGTTGTGCATCTGGAATTGCCATACATTTGAATTGAGACAATTGGTGAACCCTATCACATCTGTGATCATGATAAGAACACCATGTGAACTCCTGTTCTTCTCTAACTATCATGAGTGCTTTGTCAAGGGGAAAGTGAGGGAGAAAGGTGAGTACCCTGTCATCTGTAAAAATGTCTCTCAAATGATTCTAATCTCCTTAATCTAATTCAGACAAAAGAGAAATTTCCTGGGAACTCTGGGATGAATCTGTCTGAAAACTCAGTGGTGACCCAGCTTGGCCTCACAGAGGAGCAACCTGCACCAGCATCTGACATTGAATGGCAGCTGTGAGTCAAGGCCCACACCCACTATCTGAACAATATTGACAGTGATCAAGAAGATCAGATACCTTCTATGGATGGGCCCTCATCATATGCCATGCAACCAGCTCTCACCAGTGCACCTGAAGCACCAACTTGTTTTGCACCTGAATACACATATGAATACACATACCCTCCCATTCCTGAAGTGCCTCATTCATACTCACATGTCCAACAAGGGCAGTGTGGTGGGTCTACATTGGGACCTTACATGTACCTTCCACCTGAGCTCAACTATGCCCTGCCCACACTTGCCACAAGGTTCATGCACTCAGCAGCCCCTCATCCTACTCTGTACAGCATACCATCACAGCATGCTGAGTTAGCACAAAGGCATCTTTGGCCTGGAGAAACAACACTGAATGAAGCCTTTTCTATCCCCAAATGACATGTCATTTGAGTAAGTTGTTCATCACTACCATTACACTATGGTCTAATCTCTGGTTTGCTTTGCAGCAGGTGGGCAAAACCACTCAAAGTGTCATTTGGGACAGATCCAGCTTGTGACTTCCCCCCCCCCCCCACATGTGCCAGAGTCTGGATCAGTGACTGACCACAGATCTGTGATCATCTTGGGAGCACAGGAGGTCTGTGTGATCACCATCAATGTGAGAACTGGTTTAAAGCAAATCCTACTATCACAAAATCTTCTTCCTGACAGTGATGAGCTTGTGACCATGATCAAACAGGCTTTGTACAATGCAGCAATACCATATGATTGAGGTAAATATCTTATTAATGCATGATTCTGACCACTGATATTTATTACAGCCAGTTTCAAACACTGGCTGGAGTACAATGCCACAAAGGAATGAAAAAACTCCAAGATATTGTGACAAACATCTGCAATGACTTCAAGAATGTTGCATGCATCTTAGCACCACTGCTGTATGGATTAACTGTCTATATACAATCTTGTGGACAAGAAGTCAGGTTGCAACAAGAATGGATACCCATTCTTCTTTCCAGATACATGTGGTTGGATGAAGTTCTAAGGGCCCATTCAGCAGCTGCTTGTTTGCCTTCATTCTGTTTCATTTTGAATTCCCACCATTTGCAAACAGAATGGGTGGGCAAGTAAAACAGAAGCATCACAAAATGTCACAGATATGTCACACCCATAGTCACATGTAGATCAGACATCAGATAGTGATCAATGGTACTGCACTACCTTGCCATGGCTCCATCATCATCTCAGAAAAAGAGAAAATCCTTGAAAGCCTTGAGATCATTATCCCACCACCATAAAAAGAAAGTAGCAGCAATTGCTACTGCTGTCTTGGCTGCAGCTGTCACAATGGCCATTCTACCATCTATAGACAAGATGCCACAGCACACCTAGCAGTTCCTCACAGTCTTCAGGGCACCACCACTTGCCTCATGGCTGTGCTCGAGTGCCTTTGCAGTGGCTGTGAATGCTACAGACTTGAAAGTCCCATTATCTGCAGAATTCCCACTTGCATAGGTCTTGAGGGTGTTGACAAGTGCTGTATCATCACTGGTGCTCCACTTGGCATTACAAGGAGCCTTGGTATTGTCATGAGAAGTTGTGGAACTTGCAGGAGCTTGATTGGCAGCCTGAGACGCATGAGCCATACTTGTAAAGACAGTGGTAGTAGGGTATTAGTAGTACGAAACTTGAAGATATAGTATCCCAAGGTAAAATGGAGCATGACAGACTGTTTTGAAACAGCAAGGGCAGACTCATCCATTTGCAAACCATGGGAAATCAAAATGAAACAGAACAGTTGCAAACAAATGAAAACAGAGGGCTGCCAAACAGGCCCTAATGGTAGGCCTTGTCCATCTTACAGTCCAAATGTGCCCTGACCACTTTGTTTCAAAATGGGTATGGTATGAGCTGCATACCTTTTGGCCACCCAGCACTCATTCAAACTGTTGTCACCCTGCTCTGGGGTGACAAGCAATACCAGCAGTATCTTGATGTCAAGAGAAAGAACCTCACCCCCACCATTGTCTTCACTGGAACAATCCTACACCAAGTGCTCAATGAGTATTCAAACAGTATATTCTTACCACAAGACTTCAGTGCAAGAACCAGTGGCTTGCTACATTGCAAATTATATTCTCACATGAGTACTCTACAAGGCAATGAGTTGGAAAATTATAATAAGCTTTTAGAGGACATATATGTATGAGGGGCAGAGATGTTAGGGGCATGAATGTAATACTACTAGTCATTGGCCAAAATCAATCACTACTCAAATATTTGCAGGATAACTATTGTTAACTTCATTAATAGTCTTTCCCAAACTACACATGACCTCTTAAGTCACCATTGCCATGACATTGCCGACACATGTCCATTATGGTCCATTAAAGCCCAGCTAGTTTTGCAGATGTATCCTTCATACTCAAGAATGGATAATGTTCCACAAACTCCTGAGGAGAACTAGCACAACACACCAATGACATCACTGTAGACTGCAACATGCTCGAAGGCATACTCCTGTTGTATACACTCATAGCTGAGAGCTCTACAATCACTGACACCAGCAAGGTCAACATACAAGCATCAAATGCCACTGTCCATGACATGTGCACAATGAATTGTGCAGCTCAAAGTCATCTGTCAGAGCATGATGAATGCAATACCCCAAAGAAATCGACCACCCCAAAAGGTTCAAGGCCCATGTGACCAGATGGTCAGTCTGGTATGATTGGTGCTCATGAAGAGTTTGGAAACCTGGCCTGACAGCATCCAGGAATCCATGGGGAAAGCATGTGATGTAGTTGTCTACCTCCATCTGACTAAGCCCAATGTGGCTGTGTCCTTGCCTTCCAACACCATGTTCAATTTGACCAAACAGTCTGCCAGTGCATCACCTGTACCTGCAAATCACTTAGAGTCTGTATGGTATGTTCACGTAGTCTCACTACACTCTTTGACAATTCTACAAAGATATATTGGGTGATTAGTAAGAATGGTCAGAAATTGAAAGTTGACTGCCAGCTGCAATGCTCATATTATGCTCATATTGCTGATCAATGCTCAGTGCTCAGCCATGAATGATGAAGAAGCACATCAATTGTGAGAGCTCATATGAGAGAAGGTCCTCATCATTGTCCAGATTCTCACCAAGCTAATGGTTGATCTCCTCTCTGGAGAGATCCCTAAGAATATATGGCCATACCACACATCTGCACTTTCTGGAGAGGCTTGGTTGGTTGAGCTGATCCTTGGTCACCCAGACTGTATACATTGTGAGTTAGGTATGAGTGTATACACATTCAAAGAAGTTACTCTTCAACTCTGCAACCATGGCTACCAAGCCTCAAAGTACACCTCTCTTGAAGAATAGCTCACAATTTTTTTGTATACATGTGTCACTGGCCTACCAATCAGACATGTTGGAGAATGTTTTCAGAGATCCAATGATACAATCTCAAGGTACACTTTGATTCTTTTTCCATGCGCATTTCCAACAATGTCTGTACTTTGATACTTCCACAAAATGGTTACAATCTTTGCCTCTGAACCCTTCTATTTGAAGCACATTGTCACACACCAAAGGTGTTGTGGACATGGTTTCAGCTGACTCTGCCTAACTTGTCAATGAGTTGTGTGCAATGCCCATGCCATGCAGATGAAGACTAAAGGCCTCATGCATAGAAAGACTGCTGGACATTAACAGTCATCCTTCACACAAGAATGAGTCGTCAGTGCTAAAGAGAAAAGAGGAAGCAAGTTAAGCATGCATTAAAGGTTTTTAGCGCCCATGTACAGCATTCCAGTTTTCATTGTATCTCCACCATTTCCAAAGATATTGACTCCATTCTCACACTTGCTTAAAGTGCTCAGCCATGTGGTTCTTCCTTCCAAATTTGGAGAGGATCCTCACACCCTGTGCATTTCTACAGCACTCCATCCATCAGACACTCATTTTGCTAAGTCCATCAATCATGGCTGCCTCTTCGTCAACCATCTCGCTCATCTCATTTGCCAGAGACAGTGGCTATGTATATCTGCCAGGCATTCCCACCAGCTTCCATCCTGAAGCCCCCTGGTTCATCCCATCATTGTCAGCCCCATCTCATCCCATGCAGCTTGGTCAGCATGTTCTCCTTGTCAGTATGACTTCCAGAAGGATGTTCTTTGGTTGCCTCAGGTCTGTCACTCAGTTAGAAAGGTCTTATGTGGCCATTTTGGTCTCCCCTCTTGATGAAGCATATGGATCGTTCCTCCCTGTTCCCTGCACTGTCTTTATTCCAATCTCATCCATCATTCTTCCTGCATTGTGACAGCTGCAGCATAGTCTACTGTTCTCCAGCCTCCCTGATCACATTCATGATGAGTATGACATGCATCTTGCCTTCTTACTGCAAGATCCAGCAGAAGACATCCCCCCTTCCCCTCCTCCTCCATCAGAGCCCCATCCATGAAGCTTTTGTTAACTTCACTGAGAGGATGAAAGGGTGGGAGATGTGATTGCTTATGCTCCCATTGCCCCACAGACCCCCAATGCCCTAGCCCCTTTGACACCTGACTCATGCCCTTCAATTCTGGAATTAATACTTCCCTATCTGGAAACACCATCCATCTGTCATGCCATCTTTGGGTCTAGAGATGTCTCTGCTGAGATCTGACTTGCATCACCACCCCCAAATGTGATATCAGTGTGCTTACTCAGTTTCTGACTCCATTTGACTCATTCTGTGATATTTTGACTGTCCTTGACTCATTTATTGCCAATACTTACCAATCTTCTTTGCTTGCTTACTTTTCATTTCTTGCTTACTCATCATGATTACTCAGTCCTTACTCATTACTTACCAAGTGTTTGTGCCTTGTTTGTCACAAGCTGCGCTCCCCCCACAGTATATAAACCCCCATGTACTTAGCTACACCCCCAGTGAACCAGAAGCCATTCACTCAGCAGTCAGTTCAGCTCAGCTCAGCATAACTCATTGTTGACAGTTGAGGCTCATTCAGAAGAGTCTATCTGTCTTCATTCATATCATTGGTAGTTGAGGCTCTACAAAGGGGTCTATCTACCTCCATCATTATCTGAAGCTTCATCCACACTTGGTCAGCAAGTCTGCTTAGTCATCCATCCATTCCTGCATAACTTGTCATTGACTTGCACCAGGAGCATATTCTATTGAAGTCCATTACTCCCAAGTACTTTCGGCTGAACACCTTCACTCTGTTCAGCATCCCCTTCTCAATCAGCATTCATTCATCTTCTCATGCATAACTCATCATTGACTTGTGCTAGGAGCACCTGCCATTGACATTTCCCCCACTTTAGGTTTCTCTGCCCTCCAGGTTCCACAGAGGTAAACCACCACTCACTCATATTTGTCTTTGGTGTTGGTTTTGGTTGGTTTTCACCACCCTTCCACACTTTGACTCACAATGTATCACTCCCATTCACTTCTTCAACTACCACCATCCACCCCAAAATCATGTGGAGTCATAGGTTCTGGCCATACTTCAAGGATGCAATCAGTGCCATCGATGGCAGTCATATTCCTGCTTCCCTGCCACTCCATGACTGCACTGCATACCACAACCAAAAGGGCACCATGTCCCAGAATTGCATGTTTGCCTGTGACTTTGGCATGAATTTCACTTATGTATTGACTGGCTGGGAGGGTTTGGCTATGGATGCATGAATTTTCCAGGAAGTGTGCACATCAAGCCTCAATATTCCCCAAGGAAAGTATTTCCTTGGTGATGCTGGTTTCCCATTGTCAGAAGGAGTCCTCGTACCTTACTGCCACACATGCTATCACCTGGCAGAGTGGTGCCAAGCATCATTAAGGTATGCATTTACTGCATGATTGATATCCATATACTTCCCATTTTACAGGCCTGCAAACAAAGAAGGGCTTTTCAATTTGCATCACTCATCTGCATGGAATGTTGTCAAATGAATCTTTGGTGTCATCAAGCATCATTTCCAAATTCTTCTTCTCCCTCCAGAATATCCTATCAAGATGCAGGCACTCATTCCCATCACCCTATGTGTTATCCACAATTTAATTATGTTGCATGAATGGGATCCAGATGCTGATGGAGAAATGCAGGAGGGGGATAGTGGAGGTGATGGGGATACTGAGGAAGTTGGCAACATTGAGCAAGAAGAAAGCGCACTATTAGGGGATGATGAGGGAGACAACAGCCCTCAAGAATTATCAGCCAGGGCCTTGTGCAATTCTATTGCTGAGGCAATGTGGCATGACTACCAGGATTATCTGCAGAAGTGAGGGCAAACCTGATCTTTGATTGTTCTACATACACTTATCTCACTATACAAATGAATATATTTCAATCATTCTTTGCATAACAAAGCACCAGGTCAGATATATTGCAAGCAGGGATGCAAACATGATGGAGGTACTACAACACAAGGTCATCTGGGATGAGTTTCTGGTTATGAAGATGAGTTTGAATCCAGTTTCTACAAAGGGTCTTGTCATCCAACATGAGGTATAAATTGATTGCCCCCCCATCCATACAGAATGCTTCCATCAGGGCCATCTTAGCTAACAGGGGAAGGTCATCATCTTGCCATGTGAGCATCTCTACAGTGGTGTGCATATGGTCAGTACACCTTTGCTGCACAGCA